GTGAGTAATTTGGTCTTCGTCTTCGCTTCGATGTTACTCTGGCGTTTCTCTCTATTAAGGCCTTTCTTTTTGCACTGTCCCGTCTTTTCTTCTACGTTTGAGGGTCTTTTCTCTTTCTCTTTCTCTCTTTTTCTTTCTTTCCTTCTCTCTCTTTTTTTCTTTCTTTCCTTCTCTCTCTCTCTCTCTCTCTCTCTCTCTCTCTCTCTCTCTCTCTCTCTCTCTCTCTCTCTCTCTCTTTCTCTCTCTCTCTCTCTCTCTCTTTCTCTTTCTCTTTTTTATTTTTATTTTTCTCCGTCTTTCACCTTCTCTCTCTCTTTCTCTTTCCGTTTCTCTCTCACTCATTACCCAATCTCCCCCTGTCTTTATCAATATCTTCTCTCCCCATCCTCCTCTCCTTCTTCCTCTCCCCATTCTCCTCTTCCTATCCTCACTCTCCTCCCTCTCCTTCTCCTTCTCCCTTTCCTCCTTCCTATCCTTCTCCCTCCCTTTCTCCCTCTCCTCCTCCCTCTCTCCTACCCCCATTCTCGGTTTCCTCCCTCTCATAGTGGGTTATTAAGAGTATTTATTCCTTGGATTACAAGATACGCAGAGACGTCAGGGTGGCTCTCTTGGGAACCCACTTGGCGATGCTTTATGCGGCCAATTTGTTACTCTCCGTTTATTGATAGTCGTGATGTCAAGGTAAATGTTGCGGGTTTTTTTTTCTTCCTTTTTTTTTTGGGGGGGGGGGGGGGGCGTTTATTTTTTTTTCTTGTAACTCGTCCGATTTTCCATGCATGATGGAACTTGGAAGAGGATTTCCAATTTGCTGTCGTGCGTCCGAATCGCTGAGTCATGGCTACGCTCGCGCGTAATCATGCAGGAAACTACGTGTTTGGATATTTTGTTAACAAAGGAAACACCTCCTGTAGATCATCCATAAACAAAAACAAAACATTTTCTTAAATAAGTTCTTTGGCGAATTTTAGATTAAAAAAAAAATATATATATATATATATATATATATATATATATATATATATATAGAGAGAGAGAGAGAGAGAGAGAGAGAGAGAGAGAGAGAGAGAGAGAGAGAGAGAGAGAGAGAGAGAGAGAGAAAGAGAGAGAGAGAGAGAGAGAAAGAGAGAGAGAGAAAGAGAGAGAGAGAGAGAGAGAGAGAGAGAGAGAGAGAGAAAGAGTAAGAGAACATAACATTTATAAAAGTGACGCATGGAAGAGAAACAGTAATAAAATATTATAACAGTGTTACATCTAATTCGATTAATACTTCAGATCAGTTATTTGCAGTCGTATCTGTTGCCATACATTTCGAAAGGCTAGTATTATCGTCCATAAAACCCGTAATATGTAAATTGAGCAAGTAGTACCATTGGCAGACGTACCTGTTGTTCATCACAAGAAGTAATAGTAATAGCAATGATTCTTATGACAGGATTATTAGCCGTGTTTCTTTCGAGAGTGTCATTAGTAACAGCATTATAATGTGAGTTGAGTGACAGGCTAAAGTCAGCTCCTCGAGTGGTGGTACAGCGTTCGTGTCCCCTGCTGAGGGCGTGATGGCCTGCGATGACTATATCTGGGTACTAGTTCTCCTGGGGCGCTCCGCTCTGCCCCGCGCTCGCTCTCTCTCTTTCTCTTTCTCTTTCTTTCGCTCTTTCTTTCTCTTTTTCCTTCACACTTTCTTTCTCACTCTCTGGTTTTCTCTCTCTTCTGTCGTTCTCTATCCTTTTCTCTCTTTCTCGCTCGCTTCTGTCGTTCTCTCTTCTTTTTTCTCTCTCTCCTTTTCTCTCTTTCTCGCTTCTCCCATTCTCTCTCTCTCCTTTACTCTCTTTCTCGCTTCTTTCGCCCGCCCCCCTCTCTCTAGAGACAGATAGAGAGAGAGAGAGAGAGAGAGAGAGAGAGAGAGAGAGAGAGAGAGAGAGAAAAGAAAGCGAGAGAAAGAGAGAGCAAGAGAGCGAGAGAGAGCAAGCTGACCCCTTACCGCAATGCAGACGTACAACATTACTACAATTGCTTCTACAGACTCACACACGTTATTTAGAAATGCATGTGGGTCAAGGCTCAGTAGCAAACACACAAAAGGCAGACGTTAATTTCGATTCTGATTACTGATATTGATAACAATTACCTACTTTACGATGCAATGGACTCCAATTATCCATTACACGCAACTCTTTATCTAGTCATGATTAGCTATCATCGACCTATCGGTTAATTCCCAATGAAAAAACAATTAATTAGAAACTGATAATTTAATCCCTTGTCAATCAGTAATTAATTCTTAGAGTGGTAATTAGTCGTGTGGTTACGAACAGAGGAGCTGGTTCGGGGAAGGAGTGAGAGAGCGTCGCGGGCTGTGGCTTTACTTGAGGTCCTTGCTGACTGATTTTAATGCATTTTATTCTTTGTGTGTGTGTGTGTGTGTGTGTGTGTGTGTGTGTGTGTGTGTGTGTGTGTGTGTGTGTGTGTGTGTACATGTGCGTGTGCATGAGCGTGTGTGTTGTGTATGTATGTTTGTGAATGTTTGTTTGTGCGCGCGTGTGTGTGCCCTGGATAAAATATACATCATAAGTATATATATATATATATATATATATATATATATATATATATATATATATATATATATATATATATATATATATTATACGGATTAAGGAATTCGTATACTTCATCCTTCACTTTAGTCTCACAAATCCCAATAACCTGTCCTACAAATTTCTAGATCCGCAACGAGACTTTTTTTTCTATGAAGATTTACTCCCCGTTGCCGTCCTTATCGATGGCTTATCAGGCGCTGCGTCACGGCAGTCGTACTATAATCTCAAGCCTTAAGTCCAACGATGCCAACGATAAGAGTTATTACTATTGTTATGTCGTAGCTGGAAACATCTCGGCGCTACTGGGCCGCCGTTAGGCCTACGAGGGGAAAGGAGAAAGAAAGTTTATTGCTGTGGTTTTGTCTGTCTTTTTTCGTTAGTATTATACGCTTTATCTTCACTGTCGGAAGATGTTATGTAGAGATAGCGAAAGAAACAGATTTTATGAATATCCGATACTGGTTTATATAAGTAGCATCGAGGTGTAAATTGCCTGTTTTATATTCTTTTGTTTTTGTCTGCTCTCCTGTCTGTAAACAGGATTAAGAGGCTACCGATAATTCCCGTGAAAGCTTAAGGTGATACCACAATGCTACAATGACATGCTGTACGTATCCATACACACACATGTAAGTATGTGTATACGTGTGTGTTTATGTATGTGCGTAGGTAAGGAGTCCTGTTTGTATGCACTTATGCATGTATTAAAGTGGGACTTGGTTAATTTTACAACAGAAATTCATGTCGATCTTATCTCTGAGTGCCCATGATATGATTTGTGCCATGGGACATTTCTTGTTCTTGAGAATCACCGATACTATATCTCTCCAGCTGTTTTCCTCACCTGCATATCAAATTAGTTTTCTTTAACAATCTGTTATCAAAACTGCATAAGATATTAAGGTCCAGCATGTTTTTTGTTATTTATCGATGTTTTATTTATTTTTTTTATTCGGACTTTATTTAAGGAGTAATTGCCGTCCCTTGGAGGTTGAATTAGTCACATCAGTGTAAACTCACAAGATATTAGTAACATATTCTCAATAACCTTTTAATTATTGACATTATAATCATTCAGAATAAAAACAGCTGTGTAAATGTTATCACAGCTTCCTTGGAGGAAAAAATACATGCTTCATCCACAATCAACACCAATTAAACATTAATTCTCCCCTCCCCCCCGTTTTCCCCATTAATCAGAATCTTTTTCGAAAAAAAAACAACTTTCGTACTTTTTCCCAATCAGATTTATTTCCGGAAAAAAAACTTTCGTATTTTTTTCCCATTCTGATTTATTAAAAGGAAAAAAAACACTTTCGCACTTTTCCCCCCGCAATCAGACTTATTTTCGGTTTAAAAAAAACTCTCGTTCTTTCTTCCTTCTTCCCCCAAATTAAGACATACCTACTCGTTGCGGTGGCCTCGTGGTCGTAAAGAGCCTCAACCAGACACTTTTCATGAACGTTGGTCAGCGAAGAACACCAGTCTTCAAATCCTAAACCGCGCTCTAAGTCATAAAATGCTCTTTATCAATGCGTTACATCTCGCTGTCGAGTCGCTGTACCCCCGGTGAGGCACACACACACACACACAGGTCTCAGGGGGGTGGGGGGAGGAGGGGGGTTTATGCGGCCCTGCTTTGTGATACAAATATTCAATCACCGCTTCTTGTTCGACACGTAAAAATGAGAGAAAAAAAAATAAACACAAAAAAAAAATCGTTCGGAAACTTTGGGATTCTGGAGATTTGTGGTGATATGCAATTTTTTATGCGATAAAATATATTCGATGTCTTTGTTATGATGATTTTTATGATAGATAATATATATATCAGCTTATCAGCCGTGTGAGTAAGATCTCTCATTAACGATATTATCAGTCGGATACTTACAGAGGGATTAACTTCACTTAGGGATTAATTTCAAATGATAACACCCTTTGTTGTTATCCTGGCAGGTTTTTTCAACACATGCGTAGTAAGGGATGCGGTTTTAGAGAGAGAGACAGACAGAGAAGAAAGAGAAAGAGAGGGAAACAAAGAAAGAAAGAGATAGACAGAGAGGGAAACAAAGAAAGAAAGAAATAGACAGAGAGGGAAACAAAGAAAGAAGTAGACAGAGAGGGAAACAAACAAAGAAAGAAATACACAGAGAGGGAAACAAAGAAAGAAATAGACAGAGAGGGAAACAAACAAAGAAAGAAATAGACAGAGAGGGAAACAAACAAACAAAGAAATAGACAGAGAGAGAAAGAAACGCTGACAGACAGAAAGTCAAGGGATGAGGGAGGGGGGGGGGCTGCCTTTGAAATTTGAGAAGCGAGAGTAATCGAAATAAACTCCGGTTGAAAATTATTGGTATCCCTGTGACTGCTCTGATTCACTCGTCTCCCAGTCGCCGT